TTTTTTTTTTTTTCATTCTTCTCCTTCGTATCTGCATACCTGTGAGATTCGATTTCACATTTTGCTAAGCTCATTTTGGGGCATTTTATTTTTCTTTCTCTTGGGATTTTCTCCATTGCCAGAGGATGTCTCTTGTTGAAAGGATGCTGAAAGGAAGAAGAAACGAATTCTTTGACTGGCACTGAAGGAGGGGGGGGGGGATATTTTTCCCCCACATTTTTTAGTTTTTCTCATTATTCTTTTTCTCCAGGAAATAACTGACTGGGGGGGGTTGGTTTCTTTTTTCCCTCCCCCCCTTTCTTTGGAGGGGGATTTCAGGAGATCCATCCTTCTTTCCCCTCCCCTCCAAAGATTTTTTTTTCATCCTTCGTCTTTGTGGAAATGTGGACATTTCAGGCAGACAGATTGAGTGGAATTGTCTCTGCTTTAGCAGCTCTTTGTGTCGCCTGCTGTGCGCAAAGGTAAGGATTGCGATCCCAGGCTGCAGGGACTGGGGTGCTGATACAGGGCTTGTTTGTTTCCTTTGGGATTTTCTCCGTCAATCTGCGTGTGGGAAAGGGGAGGGGGTCCTTTCCCCAAATTGCTTCCCCCGCTGCCTGTTGTTGTTATTCCCCAGCCCGTGTCATGACAGGGGGAGGAGGGATGCTCATACATGCGATGTGCTGCAGACGGAGCCCACCTCGCAGCCCACTTGCAGCGCATTCCCCCCCCCCCCTCCCTTTTCCCTTTCAACCTGGGGGGAAAACAACAAAACGAAGCATTTTGCTGGGTAATATGGTGTCTGTGGGAGCCGAGCTGCGTGCATACGCACCCGGCACAGGGCTGCCTTGGCCATGCCTGTGTTGCACACACACGGTGCACACGCAGCCACATCACATCCAGGCGTGTTATGCCGTTAGCAGAGCCCAGCTCCGCAGTGCACAGGAGGCGATGCCTACGTCTGTGCCTACACGCAGATTTATGGCATGCCACATAATCATCTGGGGGTGCAACCAGCTCAGATACAGCCCTGCATGCACGCATCCATCTGTGCTGATTGGCTGCACACATGTGCATGGCAACACACGGACAGCACAGCACGGTTTACCTGCTCTGTGTGTAGCCATGTCAATGTTTGCACTGCTTCCCTGCGTGCCCAGGCTGCAGCTATTCCTGGTGCATGCCTTGAGCACTCTGAGCAATCCCAGCAGCCAGAGGCACAGGCACCCATCCAGCCTGGACAAGGTGTACAGAGCACACCTGTTTGCTCTGACACAGGCGTTCCTGCTGCCTGCACACGCAGGAGCCCTCTGACTGCTCCTCCTCACCCTTCTTCTGACAGATGCAGGCAGGTGGGTTTGTACCTGTGTGCTGCGGTGGGAGCTGAGGCATTACTATGCTCAGTCGTGCATGGTAACAGAGCATTCCCATCACACATATGCAGCTCCATGCACAGGCTTGCATATCTATATACACAAAGATTTATGTTCCCATAGTTATAAGCATGCACATGCGCAGAGTCATGCCCACCTTCTGCACACTATTTGTGCATGATTCTAATGTGTATGGACACACGCAGAGACATGCTTAGAAGCAAATGTGTAAAGAGCAGTGCTCACATCAGCAGCCTGTGCTCAGACATGTGTATTTATTTGTATATTTCTTCTGCTTATGTCCCAGACAGACATTCACTTACAGTCTCAATGCACATCTCTGCACATCCTGGGGACAAAACTGCTCTCCCATGTGCACATGCCTCCAGCTACTCCCACTCATTCCTTCCAATAGCACAGTGCGCATGTATGTAGATGTTTGGCTGCAAGTGTGTGTGTGTATGTGAAGCACATGCATACCCACATGGCCAGGGACATGGAAGTCACAAATTCAGCTCACAGGCTGGATGGATGTGCTCCCTCGGCGGATGCAGACCCACATTTGCCAGGAATAGCACTGACATGCAGCTGCTCACCCACAGCTGGGCAAATGCACAACTTGCCTGCTCAGCATGAGGGAAGTGGCTTTTGGGATCAAAAAGAGCACTGACAGACAAGAAACTATGCCCTTGATCACAGTGCCAGGTTTTGCCCTCATGGGGCCAACTGATGGGGAGGAACAAGTCCCTCTATCCCTTTCTCCCCTCTGCCCCTTACCTCATGGCCCCTGACACATTGGCTGCTCTCTCTGCTTTGGTTTCTTTGCCCATATCAAAGGAGTATCACAATTTCCTGAGCTCGTGTCCTGTGTGAGGCAGAAGTGCCTAGCCCCCTGAGAAATGCATACTATATCTATATGTTGAATATGGAGACCAATGAACGTAAAAATCTTTGTGCCCAGCAGTGACTATCTAGAAATGAAAAATGCCAATGGACACTAACACAGTGAATATATATACAAAAGTGCATGGCAAAAACTTGCATACCTGCATAGAAATCCACAGGTGTTAACACCTTTGCAAGCACAGGCACAGTGCTGTGAAAACATCCACCTGCATGCACCTCTCTGGCCTTTTTATGGTGATTAAAACAATGCTCTCCAAGGAAAAAGTAAGGTCTTTGTAAGGTGCCCAGTCAGGGCAGTGCAGCTCAGTCACAACCCTGGCACAAGTGCTGAAGGGTTTGTGCCTGCACCAAAGCTGGGCCAGTGAGGTGTGCTGGCTTGCACTGAACATCACTATTTGGCTGAGAGATCCTTGCACATCCACAGCCTCACTGCATGCCCAGTCCTGCCAGTCCCACATGCCTCCACCCACTCCTGTACAGAGAACCTGGCCCCAGCCAGTGGTACCCATCAATTCCTGTTTCTGTGCACCTGCATATATTGTGTCCACACCCCAGTTTGTCCTCACAACACAACAGAGCACCTGTAGTCCCCACCATGTAGACCTGGATGTCATCACACATATGCATGTATTTGTGCACGTCTGTCACAGCTGTAGCCTTGAGCTCCAGTGTTCTGATGTCTGTGTGCTCATGCAGAAGGCCATGCATGCCCCATACAGTCTGCCCTGTGTGTGTGTGTGTGCAGACACACGGACATGTCAGGACAGACACTGATGTCCAGCAAGGCGCAGGATGGCTGGCAGAGGTAGTGCCATGGTGCGGCTTTCCTTTGACTTAGATGGATGTGGGAGGCAGTGCTGACAGCGAGACATGCTGTTCTGGTGGGTGACTGCAAGGAGCAGTGTTTGTTACTGCCAGGGACCCTATTTCTCTTGCAGAGCAGGGGATGGAGGGTGGCACAGGGACTGAGTTCCAGGTGACAGAACCTATATGCCCCACTGCATAGAATAGGCTCAATATTTTTAGTATCCTCTGCATTCTGGTCTCCTGCCTTTGGTTTTGCTTTGCCTCACAGGCTGCTTTTAGAGGGAGCACTCTTCTCACTGAGATGGCTTGGGGGGGGCTTAAACTGCTGAAGCAGGGGCAGCCCTGCATGGCAGTCAGGGGGCCGGAGGGCAAGGCACCGTGCCCTGGCACACATAGCAGAAGATGGACCCTGCCTCCCAGCTCTGCTTCTTGATTCGCGTTGCTAAGAAGCCATGGTGATGCTGAGTGGCAGAAAACGAATTTTTACATGGCAAAGATTGGCTGTGTGTTATGACACTGCTTTTTCCTGTGCTTTAATAGCATGAAGACATATCTGGGTGCACAGGGAAGCAGAGCTTGCACTGGGGTTGTAGCAGCGCAGCTGTGTGTTGGGGGGCAGGTGTGCAGTGGGGACATCAGAGCATGGCAGTCCATGTTGTGCAGTGTGAAATCAGGGGGAAGGTACCCAGAAAAGCGAGTTGCTGGCCAGGGTGCACTGGGCTGTGGGATGGCAGCACAGGTTGTGTGGTCCTGTGGGATGCAAGAGATCCTGTGGGATGCTGTGGGATATGAGGGATGCTGTGATGGAGCTGGTTGGTTGGGATCCCCATGCATGGGCCTGGGAGCACAAAGGATGACAAAGGTTTTCTCCCTTTTATTTCAGCCCATCCACTGGGAATATTTCTGTGGTGAAAGAGATCGTGGACAAACTGCTGAAGGGCTATGACGTCCGCCTCAGGCCTGACTTTGGAGGTATGGTGACAGCCAATTGCGGGGAGCGGAGCACGGGATCCTGCCTGCACCATGCATCACCCTGCAACACGCTCCCTCCTGCCTTCTCCCTCATGTTTTCTTCTTTTCCATGGTTTCCCTCCTCTTCTCTTCCCACCCTGCCCTCCCTTCTCTTCCTCATCCTTCCCTATCCCTGGCTTCTTGGCCTCCCCAGTGCCTGCTTTGGCCCCTGGCTCAACCGAGCACTGAGCTCTTCAGGGCACGGGCCAACATTCCTGGTCTAAGTTCAATATTACTGAGTGCCACTGGAGATGAGAAGCGTAGAAAAAAGAGGAACTCTATCCTGAATTTGCACTGTCTGCAAACAGATGGGAGATTGTTCATGGTAGGTTGTTTCTGAGGACATTTTGCTGAGACACTCTGGATTTTCTCTACCCTGAACTTTCCTCTCTCATGGACCATAGTTCATATCTCCATAACTTCTGCTGCTCATGGTGCCAGATTTTATAGCTGCTTTCCCTGTGGAGGGTTGGAATGTCCACTGGCAAGGCTGTCAGTTGGTCTGTACCCCTTAATGACAATATGGGATAAAATATTACCTGGAGAGCCTCTGGCCTCATTGTCATTCAGTAGGAGATGGAAGGATCTGCAAATTCCTCTCCTGTGTTCTGTGAACACAAAGGAGAATGGAAGGGATTTGCTCTTTGTCACCGTGGTGGAGATGAAGTATGAAATAATCCTTGGGTACTGTCATACTGCAGGGCACTGCTGAGGTCTATCTGTTGTAAAGCTGCAGGCACTGGAGATCCCACCACTGACCACATGGTCAGAGAGCATCCCAAGAAGGTGGGGGGGTTGGAGCACTCCTCACTTCACCTTCCACGCTTGGCTGTTTTCAGTCTTCTCTGGGTAATGCCAGTTCCTCCTCAAGAGGAGGAATGTGGGACTGAGGGAGCTTTAGCGCAAGGAGATCAGATGTTCTCCAGACAACTGCTGGGAATCAGATTCATTTATGGGCTTTTGAGAGAAAGAGATGCCACAGTCAGTTCAGTGGAGGGCAAGGGAGGAATTTTCTCCTGAAGAGCTTGATCCAAATCTCCTTGAAACCATGGGTAAGGGAATATTGCTGTGTATTTCTTTCTTTTTTTTTTTTTTTTTAAGTCACCGTGGTGACATAAGAGCAGCACAAGGTGCTGCTGGCACTGGCCTAGTGGGGGATGTGGGACAGGGCAATGCTTGTTCCTCCATGGTGCAGCTGGGTGTCACTTCAGTGCAGTGGGGTAAGGCTTTGTGAGCATATGCAAGACAGCAGGATTCCCCCTTCTCCCTCCTCTCCTTTAGATGTGAGATATGGCTGGATTGTTTTCAAGGTCTATCTGGGAAATGTGAAATGCCCCTATTAGCTGACCTGCCCCAATCAGAGGAATTGGTGCAGTCACATTTTATGAGGAGGAGAGAACTGCAGAGATGACATAAAAAAGGTGAGGAAAACCATCTCCTAAGCCACTGAGATTATTATGATACAGTAAAACAGCAAGTGACCTGGCTGCATGAGGGAACAGAGCAGAAGGGTGTGGGGAACTGTGGAGGTCCTGCTCCCCCAAGTCCCTGGGACACTCAGCTTGCCTCTGGGACACACCACCCCATCCTTCAGTCCAGGTGCTGCTACTGGAACTGCCATGTCTGCAGCGCATGGGTTGGGCTGAACATGCAGTGCCTCCTTTCTGACTGTAAAATGGATGTTTTTGAGAAACCATTGCAGTTTATTTGATTTTACCTTGAATTCCCAAAGTACATAATGCATTTTCCTCGCTCAAGCTGAGCAAGAGAAAGAAAGCAGTAGACTCCATTCTGGTACACGTCTCAGTGCTGCCTTTCTCTTGCCCTTCTCTCTGTTTGGAAGTGCAAAATACCCCTCTGGCAGTACCCATTATTGTGCCTTCGGTGCTCAGTGCACAGAGACACCCTAACTCTTAGCATGTCTGGCCCTCTGCTCTTGAGGATAAGCTTCTGTGTGGAAAAATTGCCTCTGCAGCATCTGTAAGTAAGGGAAAGATGGCTTGAGAGGTGGGTCTGAAAACGAGATCATTAGCTTTGTACACCCAAGGAAAAATGGTGAAAGTCTTCTTGCACCATTGCTGTCTCCAGAGCTCACCAGCTCTCTGAGATTTTGGGGCAAATCCATTGCTAGGATAAATCTAGAGATATCACACCAAGACTCATCTAACCTGTAGTGGCTTCTGATCCCAGGAGACCTGAAGACTGTTCTATTCTCCAGGATAGTGCCTATGCCTTGAATGCTGGGCAAGATGGGTGTAAGCCATCTTTGCTTGGGAAGGTGATTACTCTTCACCCATTTGACCTCTCATTCTGAGAAGACCACTTAGGGTGAGTTATGAATGGCCAAGATGACATCTTGGTGGAATGGTAACTCCTAGTTGGAGCTATTGGCCCAGGAGGAACAGCACAAGGCTGTTGTGAGGCTGGCACAGCTCTGACCAAAGTCTCTAATTGGACAGAGAGATGGGAGCAAAGCAGCTCCTCTTCCCTTCTGGAATAAAGGAACACATTCCCCACTTTCACCCTCACACCCTTGGTCCATTACTCTATGCATAACCATGATCTGACCCCAGTCCATCCATAAAGCCAGGCTTGGTTTGAGGCACAGGAGTGCAGGAATCAGCTCATGTTCCCTCCTTTCCCTGGAGAAGAAAGGATTTTCAGCAGAACCAAAGACCTTTGTGCTGCTGTCTTCATTCAAGGGTCCCCCTTGTCCCAGCACCTCCATTGCACCTGGGATGTGGTGCATCAACAGCTCCAAATGCAACTCACAGTTTCCCAGTCCTTTTTTTTTTTTTTTTTTTTTTTTTGAAAGAGAATGAGAACTCTGGCTAATGCCAAAAGGAGGACAGGCCTGCTGGGGATTGCAGTTCACTTTTTAATTTTGAGATGCCTCGTTAGCTCTGGGCCGAGCTGAGTGGCTGAGAAGCATCAGCCACTCACTCTCCTCCCCTCTCCCCCACCCCCTGGAAACCCATTAGGCCGATGAGCAGGTCAGCTCTCAGGGGTGATGTGGTGGCATTGAGTGTGACATGTTCACCTGGGAGCTGAGCTGAACAGGAACAGCAGAAAATGTGGGAAAAAGGGGGAAAGTTGGAGCCATGTGGGGGTGATGGAAAAATCTGGGAGCACCTCCTCCAGAAAGCCATCCTTGGTCAGCAGAGGCTGCCTGAGGGAGTCAGAAGCCAGGAGAAGTGGAGTGGAATGGGTGATATTGAAGTGGATGCTGCATGGACAGCATCCATCCTTGGGGTGTAGGTGATAAACCCTTCTGTGCCCTGGTGAGGTCTGGCCATTCCTTCTTACTTTCCAAATATTGACCCTAGGTAGCATGCCAGGTCAAGGAGATGTGGGACAGTGGCAACATGCAGGGGCAGCAATGCTGAGTTTTCATGGGCTCAGCATGGATAAAGGGCAGGATATCATCACAACACACTTCTAATGGGTTTGGCCAGGATTGTGGTGAGGACCTGGAACAGGTTTGGAGGAAGTATCTGCATGGCAGGAGAAAGATTTAGGCAGTCTTCTGAAGCAGTCTTGGTACTGCAAGAATGGCAGTGGAAGGGAGGGAAGGAGCTTTTTAGGCTGGTGCTGGGAAGCCTACTCAGTTCATGGGAAGCAGGGCAGCTCACAGGGAGACTAAGTGCCCTGCCCTGGGGGATCAGTGGCACAGAGCTCCATGTCTTCTTTTGGGTGGGTTGCAAGCCAGGCTATGACACAGCAAACAGGATATAGCAAACCCCTGTGTAGAACTCGACGATGCTGCAGATCTGTTCTGGGAAGCATCTCAAAGCTACGGGTGGGGAAGAGGGAGTTTTCAGAGCAGTACCCTGGTTCTTATAAGTGCTCTTAGGCGCTTCCTTTCAGAAGCATTAGTACCACAGGAGGGAAAAAAAAGAAAGATACAAAAAAAAAAAAAAAAAAAAAAAAACAACCTAGACAAAGTAAATGAAGACTATCTTGCCCCAGGGTAAAGAAGCCAGTAAAGGAGTGGCAGGAGGATCCCACTTGAGCTCAGTGACTCAGCTGCTCTCTGTTGGTGCAACATTTCCAACCTGAAACTTTGTGAGACTTTCTCTTCTTCCAAGGAGCTAATGGAAAGAAGACCCTGCATGGAATCTTATACAGATTTCAGTCGAAAAATAAGGGGATGTAATTCCCTATTCCTTGTTCCCTGCCTACCTAGAAATGCAGGGTTCCTAGTGTTGCTCCTGAGTGATGTGCATGTTGTCTGAAAATGTGTGGTGAAAAGGGAATGATGGCATATGTTTCCATGTTTCCTATATTTCCATGCCTGTGTGTACAGCAGCTCTCCCCACTCCAGATTTTATTCAAATTTCTCTAAGAACAATTAGGGTGTAGGGGGTCTTGGATCCAAATGAGCCTGAGATTAGGGTTCTTAGCTCTGCTCCTCATCTGCTGTGCAGTATAGACCTGGCTTCCCGCCTTCCATCAACCTTGCCCTGTCTCACCCTTTTCCTTAGACATGAACCCCTCCTTCATCTGCCCTCCCTGCTTCTCCTGCCCGCCCTTCCTGTCCTCATCCCTCTCTGCCTCCATCACACCTGCACCCTCCTGTGGTCCCAGCCTCTTTATGCCTTCTTGTTCCACAGCACTTCTTTCTCAGGGGCAATAAAGGCCACCCCAAGTTCAGTGGGCCTGAGGACAAAATCCTCAGCCATTCCCTGTGTAGCAACGTGGCTTAAAACCCAGAATTGTAAAAACAAATGATTGCTGATATGCATAAAGTGTTGCAGTGAAGCACTGTCAGTAGTTCAGGGCTTGAAAAGCAGCAGGGCTGGCAGAAGCAGCAGTGTTGGCTGGCACCAATGCAGCAGGAGGTGTGGGGCCGAGCCCTGGCCCCCCAGCTCAGCATGGCTGGGAAACAATAGGTCCCAGTGGCACTGTACTGGAAGGATGGGAATTTGGTGCCTTATGTAGGCAGGGCTGGCAGTGTTGCA